CAGGTGAGACCAGCCCAAGTTCTAACAACCCCCTAATTGGTGTCGTTTTGCTTTTCTGGGCACGTGTTCTTTTGTGTGTACAGGACTGAAGTTTTTATGGACTATGGGTAAGACGCTTTGCACCACAAAACATACAGCATCTAGCTGGTGTAGTAAGATAAGGGTCTGAAACATAAGCTGGGTATGTTGTTCTTGTGACACCTGTTCCAGGTGCAATGCTTGTTTGGGATGGGGTCGCTGTCATCTTTGTGTAGCTGGCTGGAGAGTTCTCTGAAGAAGTGCTTTCTGATCACATCTTGGAATTCTTGCCCAAACAGCATTGGCCCTTGAGTCCTTAGTGCTGCTTCCACCTGGCCTGGCTGAATCAAACCATAGGCAGTGTTTTATGTCCTGGTAAAATGGACTGCTTTTCCTTTAATCTCTGCACCCTCTTCTGTGCCAGGATGCTGTTGGACTTACTTTTTAAATCTGTCTTTTGTCACTGACTCCTCTCCAAGCCTCCATGTTAAACACAGTCTTTGTCTCTTTAGTGCCACATTTTATACACCCCAAACTATGATTTCTAAAATAAGTTATTTGAATCTTATGAATGAAACAGCATGTTTTGTCTTGCTTTGGTGGAGTACCAGTGTCAGCAGAAGTGTGTGTCTATACTAGAGATGTCCATGTGTAGTTGACTACATGATTAACCCATAAGTCTAGCTTATCGGTTAATCCTGTCGACTACATGCACTACCCTCCCCTTGCTGCCTCTGTATCAGAGGCAGCGAGGGGTGGAGGTGTGAGACAGGAGCTGGCATGTGCAGGCAGCCAGCTTTTAGGTCAGCCTGCCATGTGAGAGAGCTTCTGTGGAGCTACCTCCTCTCCCCTTCCTCCCACAGAAGCAGCAGGGTGGGGAGGTGGGGCAGGCAGGAACCAATGCTTGGGGAGTCAAAAGCCAGGTTCCCCACAAGCACCAGCTCCTGCCTGCCCCCTACATGTGTAAACATGAAACCACTAAAATTTCAAGCTTTTGTGGGTAAAACCCACTTCGTCAGAGGAGTTGGAGTGGATTTCAACTAACTGCAGTGCCTCGTGGTTCTGCAATATAACAGGAATCCAGGCGCACCACTGAATCTCAGAACACTTTTCCTTGTCCCTTTAAGTCATCCTAGATGTGAGGTTTATTTTGTATCATAAATTACCCTGTGTGGTGGTGGTGATTTGTACTGTATACCAGGCAGAAGAACTGGGTCAGCTGGGCTGTCATTTTGCTCTCTAAGCACTGAGTACCGTGTAATCAAATAAAAATAATCCTTTCGTGAGCTTCCTTTTCCCACCATCTCTAGTGTCTGGCAGAGCGGGGACATGTGGCAGAGTGTAACAGCCAGATGGTCACAGGGAGCCATTCGGGCTCACAAAATGAGGGTGGGGGATATTCATGTGATGTCTTTCTCATAACAGCTATGACCAAGTGAAATTATTTCCCTGTGGGCAAAAGGACAGTCTCTGTGAAATGCACAGTCTGGTTCAATCCTTTGAAAACCATTCATGTAAAAGACTCTCCAAGTAAAAGAATGAAAAGATGTGCTCCACTTCAAACAGAAATTAATTCCAGGAAGTCCTATGGCCCATGTTATGCAGGAGGTCAAACTAGATGATCCCAATGATCCTTTCTGTCTGTATAATTTGCTAGTCTTTTATTTACTTCCCTCTTCTTTAATGGAGTAATAGAAAACTCTCCCCTCCGTAGACTCAAGTTCAAGTGTGAAGTCATTCACTAATGATCCATTTCTTGGCCAGCAGTTAGTTCCTCTCACACACGTCTTGTGACCATTGCAAAGCCAAGGGAGTCAGGAGGCCCGGGTTCTATTTCTGGGCTGCGATGCTGACTTGTATAAACTCGGGCAAGTCACTTTACCTTTCTGCCTCACTATCCCACTCTGTGAACTTGACTAATACATACCCTGAGGTTGTCTCTGAGCGTGTGTGCACTTCATGTTGCAGTGACTGAAGAGAAGAGTTTGCTATTGGGATATTCAGTGCTTAAATTCAGGCTGGGCAAGATGCGGCCTGGGGGCTGGATTTGGCCCACGGACTACATCTGACCATTTTCTATTTATATCCTGCTGCCTGTGCCACTAAATTGCCAGGCGGTGGGTCAGGCAGCAGGATCCTATTTAAATGGCTCATGGCTCCCGGTCATAGTGCTGCCCCAGATAACCCTTTATATAGCCACAGCAACCCTGGGCGGCTGCCAGGAAATGCAGCAGCAGCAGAGCTGTGAGTCCTTTGTCATGTTTTTAATTCAAAGCTTTTGGTCCCAGACAACTCTGGGGGCAGGTTAGTTCCTAGCCCCGCCCCTTCTGTCCAGGCTCCGCCCCTTCCAGGGGCTGCAGCTGGCCCGTGATCACATAGCAAAATTCATTAATGGTCTCCTTGTGAAAATTATTGCTCTTCGGTCCGGGAAGCCAGGCTCGCAGAAAGAAATCTTGCAAGGCAGATTTAGCCAGATGCTAACATGGATTTTTTTCTCTGGGTGATGGCTGAGTCCTGGACGCCTCTGCGCCATCTCAGGCCTTCGGTCTTTACAGCTGAGAGCTGCTTTGGACTTGGTTTGGGCCTCCGGCCATGTTAGGCAATGAAAGATTGGAAACTGACCTTGCAGCTCGGAATCTTGCAGGACAATGGAGAAGAGTGACCACTCAAGATGTTGGGCCCAATGAGTGTTGTAGGCCCAGCCAAGCTGTATGTTGATCGGGGATGCGCTGAATGTCATCCTGCTGGAAATAATGGAGGTTACGCAAAATCCAGAGGCTTTGACTCTGCTGAGGGGGGAGGAGGAGGAGGAGGAGAAAGAACTCACAAGACCACGGGGTGTTGGCTGAATCTCTCTGCGACTGGTGAATATGAAGTATACCATTGTTGGTAACTCACCACTGGTCTGATCAGGCCATGCCTACCACACGTTCAGGATATGTCTACGCTACAAGGGTATTTTGAAATAAGTTATTTTGGAATAATAACTCCCGAAATAACTATTTCAAAATAGCGTACCCACACTACAAGGAAGCTTCAAAATAAGTCCGAGGCTTATGTGGATGCGCTGCCTCAACTTAGAGCTCCAGGAAGCAGTGGGAAGTAATTACTTTGAATGGTCCTGGGGAGGAGCTATATCCAAATAGCAGCAGTGAAGCGTCCACACTCCCACTATATCGAAATAGCTATTTCGAAATAGGCGTTATTCCTCGTGGAATGAGGGTTTATTATTCTGGAATAAGCTGTGTGGATGCTCACCTTGTTATTTCAAAATAATATGAGTTATTTTGTAATAACGCTTTAGTGTAGACATGCCCTCAGTGACACCGGCAATCCTTGAACCAAAATATGGCCCACAAAGGAAAAATCACAATCAGGATCTACTCCCATAATCTGAGATATACAGGGCAGCAGTTTCTCTTCAGGTCTGGCTGGGATAAGGCAATGCAGACCATATGGGAGAGAGGAGTGGAACAAAATTCCTCATCTGCTATATGGGAAGGAAGCCAAAAAGGAATGGGTGGTATGAAGTCCTTCTCCTGTGCATTCATTTTGTTTCGAAGAAGCTCTTCTCCCCTAAGTTTGGCCAACTTGACTCATTGCTGCTCTGCCCTTCTCCTGAGCTGTTCTCTACCTGGTATCACCCAGGGTAAGTCTAGACTGTGGAGATTTTTCGGCATCTCGAAAAACCTCCGCCGTGTCCAGGGAACACGTTTGCTCTTCCACCTTTTGTTTGTGGAAGAGCAGACATGCTCTTTCGGAAGCACTGTCTTCCACGAGGAAGAAGGGATCTTTTAAAAGGGTTTTTTTTCCAAAATTTGGCTTAGTGTAGATGGGCCAAATTTTGGAAAAGCCTCTTCCGGAAAAAAAAAATGGAAAAAGGTATGCAAAATGTGGAGTGAATTTTGTGTACCTTTTTCCGCAACAAAGTTTTAGTCTAGACGTCCCCCCACAGTGTAACAGCCATGCAGGGAGTGGCAGCTGAGTTCCTTCTAGATCATATCTTTGCATTGGGAGCTAGGGGTTGCCCCAGAATTTTGCTCTCCATCATGATGCACTCAAGTTAATCCTCCATTCAGAAGGAGCATGTAAAAGAGAACAGAATTTCTATACACTGCATCAGCTAGCTACAATAAATAGTTACTGAGCTGGGATCTCTGACTGTAAGCGGTCGTCGTCTCCCGTGTTGCAATTTCTGGGAGCATTGAACTGTGCTGGCAGAAAAGAGGAGCAATGGAGCCCAGCTCGTTAGAACTGGGACCCCTTTGTGCTATCCCCTTGGCTCGTGATGTGCAGCTGATACTATGCGTCTTCCTTGTTAACGTTGTGGTTAAGCTGGTTCTTGTGTGATTCTGCTCTGAGCCTGGCCACGGCATGGGTATGTGAAGCTCTGTGTGGAAAAGCTGGGTTTCTTAGGAAGTTGGTTGGTGGGAGACGTTTCCGTGACAACTTGGCTCATCCCAGGACTGATTGCTGAGCCGTGTGACATCCTCGTGAGGAGAAGCCCTGGCTTGCAGAAGGATGAAACGTACCCCCCCCCCCCAATCGGATCTGAGCCTGCTCTGGTTGGAAATCTCAAAACTCGACCCCTCCACAGGGATCAATTGCCAAAAAATTAACAAATTGACATTTGAGGTCCCCTTTCTTTGAGTCATGGGGCCAGGCCAAAGGCCCTCCTGCCTAAGGATGTGAATGGTTAACTGGTTACCAGTTACAGTTAACCAGTGGGGCTGGAGCAACCCTCTGCCCCCTGCAGGCAGGGCTGTGCTCTAGCTCTGTGGGGCAAGAGGTGTTCCAACCTGATCGAAGTAACCCCTGCCCGCTCTAGGGTGGGTGCTCCAGCCCAGCCACAGTGGGCAGGGGAGACCGCCCACCGGCCCCTATTAAACTCATTACATAACATTTAACCAGTTAATTAATTAAATGAGATTTTACATCCCTATTCTGGACATTGCCAGGAGAGCTGCCTTCTTCTATGGGTTTTTTTTCCTTTCAGTGAAATCCTCTAGTCACTTCCTGCTCGAGCGCTTCAACACACTTCCGTTATTCTCTGAGTGGCTGGCCAATTCAGAATCGATAGCTGCTCCCTACAGGCAGCCGGGATTCCTCACAGGCACCAGCCAGGACTTCCACGCAGGGATGCTCTTTCTCCCCATCAGCAAGCAGCAGAGAGAACGAAGATGAACCCACTTTCTTTTGCAGCGTGAGGTGAATCTTACCTTTTTCAAGCCTTCATTTAACCTTTGTGCTCTTGCGCGTGATTGCTGGCATTTGCCTTTGCACGGAGGGGTGGTCCGCCTCCGTGCGCTCATTTGGGACCCATCTATTAAAGGAGCAGCGTTTCTTGGGTGGAGCCCCAGTTCAGAATATGTGCCTTGCTTTTCCATTGACTGCAGCTCTTGCTTTGTGCTGTGCACTTCAGAATGGCTCGGTAGCTGACTATCAGCCAGCTGAGGGGTGCCCTGCTTGAATACCCAGAGAAAAGCTCAGCCAGGGAGCAAAGAATACCCTCTGGATTCCCCAGGAAGGGGATGTGTTTCTTGTAAGGTTGTGGTGTTTGTTTTTTTTTGAAGAAAGCCTGCAGCGCTGACTGAGCAAATATGACAATACATTTTTAAAGAATCGAGAAGGAATGGAAACTGCAGTCAAGAGAGAATTTGGGAACAAGAAGCTGCAACAGCTCAACTAGGGCGTGGCACGAGGGCAGCCACCGACCCTTCCGAGAGTGGCCACAGTGAGTATTTGGTGGGGAGGGCACTAAGTGTGGGTGGGGAACTGTGTGGTGCATAGGAGTGTTCGGCGACAGAATGGGGCCCACGCCGCGTGTTTGAAACCGTATTACAACTTAAAATAAAATGGTTGCTATCGATGTTCTTTGCCTTGTGCCTTTGGATTTCTCTGGCTGAGAACTGCATGAAAATGGCTTTGTAAACATACACCGCCGAGATCTAAGCAAGCATCTCTGCACTCCTGTCTTACACACCATGCTTATCCTGTACAGAATAGGGAGCTTGGCTTTCCAACCCTGCAGCATGAGACTCCCCGGGACCTGTTAACTTTGCAGATTGCGCAGATGCATTAGGCACAGTCAATGCCATCAACAGACAAGGAGGTTGTTGAGCTTGAATCAGTCTGGGGTGTTTCCTGGCCTCCTCTTAGGCTGCCTATAAACCTTGCGTCATATCTTCCTTTAGTGGTTTCTAGTTGCATGTTTAGCAGGAGCTTGCCTGGGTGGGTCTGAGCTCTAACCAGATATTTGTCAAAAGAGAGCTCAAAATACTGGCAATATTAGACTTTGCTGGGCTGGCCTGGTACTCCTTTGGTTAGTGGTCAGCTCTACCATACAGCAGACTTTACTTCATAAGAACAGCCAGACGGGGTCAGACCAAAGGTCAATCTAGCCCAGTGTCCTGACTTCCAACAGTGGCCAGTGCCAGATTCCCCCAGAGGAAATTAACAGAACAGGGAACCTCATGTGATCCCTCTCCTGTCACCCATTCCCAGCTTCTGATTCACAGAGGCTAGGGACACCCAGCCTGGCTAATAGCCATGGATGGACCTCTCCTCCATGAATTTATCTAGCTCTTTTTTGAAACTTGTTTAAGTTCTGGTCTTCACAATATCCTCTGGCGAGGAGTTCCATGGATTGACTGTGTACTGCGGGAAGAAATACTCCCTATTGTTTGTTTTAAACCTGCTACCTATTCAAATCTGCTTCCTTCTCCCTGGCTGGGAGTGATGAGGCTGCACTGTGCTCAGGCCATGAGAGCGCTATTTACCAGAATAGCAGCTGTATCCTGTGTGTGCATGCACCCATGTTGTTGATCAGAGGGTCAGAGCTAGTGATGGGCAAACTAGGCTAGTGAATGGGCCATCAGCTGAGGCTATGTCTAGAGTGACTATAGGCTCTTTTTGGAAAAAGCTACGCAAATTGCGCTCTGCAATTGGCACAGTTTTTTCTGATTGCTTTTCCGGAAGAGACTTTTCTGCCATTTGGCCCCGTCTAGATGGAGCCAAATGGTGGAAAAGCCTCCTCTTTTGGAGGCACCCTTATTCCTCATAGAACGAGGTATACAGGGATCCCCGAAAGAGTGCGTCTGCTCTTCCGTGGGAAAAAAAGCGGAAGAGCAAACGCTTTCCTTGGACGTGTCGGGGTTTTTCTGAGCTACTGCTGGTATCCCGAAATCCCGCCCACAGTCTAGACATATCCTCAGTGGGCTGCAAGATTGTCATACTCAACATGGTCTCCCAGGAAGGGTAGTTTTGCCAACTGCGCTTGCGTACTTAGAAGTTGCAGGGTGTGGTGATTGGGACTGTAGCAGCACTTTGATTGGGTGCAGAGGGAGCACACGGCTCTCTCAGTCGGTGTTGTGTGCAATCAGCATGCCCCTCACTTCACTTGCATGCCACTTTAGTAATACTGCTAGGGAAAAAAAACCCTACGCAGATGGAACCGAAATTCTGTGCGTGGGCATCGGTAAGCAAAATGTGTCATGGGCCATGTGCCACCCTCGGGCCACAGGTTGCCCACTGCTGGTCAGAGCCCAGGGACACGTGGGCTCGCAGTAGCTGCAGCCCACCATGGCTTGGAGGAGATATTAGGTCGCCTGTTCCCCTTTCTTGCTTGAGCAAACCTAACGCTCTCTGCTAGCGAAGGCCTGCTGTTAATAATCTTATCTCCTTGGGGCACTTGGTGGTTAGCCTGTACTGACTCGTTAAGACTAGAGCAAGGAGTCTATGTCCTGAATGGTGATATTCCGCCCCCCCCCTTGTTGCAGAGTCCTATTGGACACTGCACAGAACATTTGATCTATTCTAAGGGCCCCATCCATCAGCAGCAAGGAGGTTATCTCAAAATGGGTCACGCTGCCTGGCACACCCCCTACTGTCTGTACTTTCTAACTGGCTTGTACAGCTTCTCTGTGGTTGTTTCCTTGCCCCCAAAGACTTTACTATTTAAGACGGGGCGGGAGGGGACCCTTTTTCGGTCGGGGGCCTCTGTCCCACAGAAAAATCAGTCGGGGGCCACAGAAAAGTGAGAAGCAAAAATGAAACAAAACAAAATGAAAAAACAACACCCCCCCACTCACATACATTCTCCTTGCACACCAAAGCCTAGGCTAGTAGATTTTATGGTTCTCCTCCCCCCGTGTTCTGGGGTGGGGCCAAAAATGAGGAGCCCTGTGTGTGGGAGGGGGCTACTGGGAAGTGGGTTTGGAGTCAGAGAGGGTGGTAGGGTGCAGGAGCGGGCTGGGGGCGTGGGGTCTGGGTGGGAGAAGGGCCGTAAGGCTGGAGCGCCAGCTCCTCAATATTTGTGGGGGGAGCCCCGAGCCTCAGGAACCAAATCCAGGCAAGGTGCAAGCTGAATCTGACCCTCGGGCCATAGGCTCCCCACCCCTGATTCTCCAGTGTGATGGGTGCGGGAAAACTCATAGGCCCAGGCAGAGTCTCATGCTGTGTCCCTGTCACTTAATAAACCTTGTGTTCTCCCTGCTGGGTGGGTATTGCATGTGACTGCAGATGGGGGTGCAGGGCCCGGCGACTCCCCACACCTCAGTGACACGGATACGAGCCCTCGAATGGTAAAAGTCTGGGACAACAACTGTGCTTTCTTCTCCATTTGCACGGCACTGAGTTAACTCTGGTGTTCAACAAGTAAATCGCAATGTTTCACTGTGCAGATGGTACAGGACCAATAGGGATCCCTGGATGGTGATTTGGGAGCCTCTAGTCAGTGGGAACTCTGTTTTGTGAGAGAAGGGAGCAGGGTGGACAAGGATGAACTTCAAGTGAGCGACCTAATTCGGTTGCAACAATGAATGAATTCTCTCCTTCTTTTGAAGATCTCTACTCTTATTGGGAGCATCTTTGATGATCTGAACCAGCATCCTCCCAAACATGGATTACTCAGACACTGCCAGTGGGAAGCCAAGCTTCTCGCAGAACAGGCTGATCGGTTTGTTAGAAACGGATGACAGCATCAAGACAGGTACATCTGCCGCTGATCAACAGGACGAAAGCAAAGGGGCCCGTGGAGGGAAGGAGAAACCACCCATGGAGACTCCTTTTCAGAAGGAGAGCAGTAACTTTTCTCCAACGATCAAGGTTAATTTGAATTATCGACCAGGACTTGCCAGAAAGTAAGTCATTGTGGGATCTGCCGTGGCCAAGTGAAATTCAAGAGGGTGCCAGAAACTGCAGGATTTTCACTCTCTTGCATTCAGGAGGGGGTGGTACACTTTTGGAGAGGGGGTTTGTATTCTTCTTTCCCCCTCACTCAGGCAGTGCGACTGTCTGGAACCAGAAGGTTCTGAGGCCAATTCCGAAAAAGGGGTTGTGGGAATGAACTCTCTTTTTGTTGTTTGACTTGAAAGTTTATTCTTTCTTTTGCCAAACAGCCGGGCCCATCGCTCCCCTTACAGCGAAATCCAAGCAGCACAGGGTCGACTGGTGCAGACTCGCTTGTTTACTGTCTAGAATATGCTTAACTCTTCCCATTTCTCCAGTAGCCAACAGGACGCAAATTACTTTGATAGAGATCGGCTTTTTGGTGCAGTCGCAAGGGGTAACCCAGAAGAGCTGGATGGTTTGTCTGATTACTTGAAAAAGACCTCCAAATTTCTTTGCAATACAGAATATACAGGTATATACGCTCAGTGCTCTCTGGTCATTTAACAAACGCATGCCTTGGTAATGGCCCGCGTAGCTCAAAGGGATTGTTGCTCGCTTTCAATAAGCACCAGACGAAAAGTTTGTAGGCTTACGACTCCCCCTGCGCACAATACGCCCTTCCACCCATCCAAAGTCTGGACGAGTCTCTGAACTTCTTGCAGCTACAAACAAGAGTTGGTGTGGCCTCAGCATTAGAGCATGGGGTCGGCATCCCGTTCTCAGCACCACCGCTGACCTTATGTCAGGCCAATTGCTTCCTTTTTCCATGCCTTACTCTCCCCATCTGTAAAATGGAGCTCACGATACTTTTACCCATCTGTGGATGAAAAGTGCTGAGCAAGTATTTATTTGTAAGCTCTTTGTTTCCAGTGCAGGTTGGAAATACAGTGGGAAAGGGACTTTTAATTAATTTATGTAATGCTACATTGGCTGTTGAGTTCTAGGCAAGATGAAACTGATGTGTTCTGTACACTATGGTACCAACTATGCCCCTCTCTGAGCTCCCCTGTCTTTCTCTCTCTCTGCTAGACGCCAAGACGGGTAAGACCTGCTTAATGAAAGCCCTGCTGAATTTAAAAGATGGGACCAACGCCACTATTCCACTGTTGCTAGAAATAGACCAGAAGACTAAGACTAAAAAACCACTTGTCAATATTGCATGCAAGGACTGTTACTATGCAGGTAAGTGTTCTCCGGGGCTGTGTGTCTGACCTTGGGATTAACAATCAGCAAGACAGAAGCTATGGAAGATACAGGTTAGACCTCTCTAGTCCGGCACCTGCAGGACCTGCCCGGTGCCAAACCAGAAAATGTTCTGGACCGCAGGAGGTCAGTATTGACTAGCAGCATTACCAACACTTCCACTGCTTACTGGGCTCTTGGAAGTCATTTTGGGGTAAATTAGAGCTAAATAACAGCACAGAACACAGAGCCAGGACTGGGGGCTGTCAATAAACTTTATGGGATCATGGGAAACTAAGCCACACCCATGAGAAGTGGACATCCGGCTCACTAAAATCATGCCAGACTATGGGTGTTGCTGGACCAAAGAGTGCCGGACTAGAGAGGTCAACATGTACTGGGAATTGGATGGGTGCATAGTTGATAGCATGATGGAGTTCCTCGTTTGTGGAATGGGGTATACTGAGCACAGAAAAGGGGGCTGGGCACTGCTGAGTTCTAATTCTGACTCTGACACCCACTTTTCTGTCCTTGAGCATTTCACTTAACCTCTATGCCTCAATTCCCCCATCAGAAAAATGGGGGTAATACTGGCTTATTTAGCCAGGACTACGATGAGGTTCTATTGTTAAGGTTTGTGAAGTGCTTTGGAGAAGGAAAAAAAGATGATATAGTGTTAATCAGTGAAAACAAGTTACATTTAAAAATAACAACTTAGAAATCTGCTAAGTAGATTTATCCTTTTAATAGCAAATATTCCAAAGAAACATGCTACTCTGTGCATGTGTATTTATCCCATGTGTATCTTTATTGTAGCTTCATGGTCTTGAATTCATAGGTCAGATTTGAGATCTTATCATAACCCTAAGAGAAGTTACACTGATCAGCCCCTGATAGTCTTGGGGGAGTTTGCATCTGCCAGCTCATGGGCTCAGTGTCCAAATTGCATTTCCAGTGGTCGCTGTTGCAAAGTCAGCATTTGCCACCAGTTCCCTGCCCACAGTTGGTCTGGGGGTCCCTGACGATTTCATCGCATTGTCAGTATTGCTGCTGGCGGGGCTTTGGAAAGACCTTTCCTGCTCCTTCTGTCCATGGGGCCATCACAGCAAGCTCTGACTTATAATTCCTGGCTCCTTAGGCCAGACTGCACTCCACATTGCCATAGAAAAGAGGCACCTAGATTTAGTAAAGCTGCTGGTGGAGAATGGAGCTGACGTCCATGCCAGAGCCCATGGCGAATTCTTCAGGAAGAAGAAGGAAGGAGTGTGTTTCTATTTTGGTAAGCGTGCAGTGCAGGCTCCGGCTTGCTAGCTGGGAACCCTGTCCCTTCCAGGGCTTGACTTTCCATTCGTTAGGTGCATTCTCCCGCATCCCATAACCCCAAGTGTCCCATCTTACTGGGGTAGTCAGCCCTCTTGCCCAGACTGAGCTCTCCCTCGAACCAGTCAGTGCTTGCCTCCTGATGTTCACATGTGTGCCCTTGTCCCTGTCTATGGACATGGGGCTGCCTCAAAACCCCTGCCCCTCATGTGTGGACTGAACTCAAAAATAGATGGCGGGGAGAGGGGACGCTGACCGGTGCAGCCAAAATTTGAGTCTGACAAACTGATTCAGCTGCTCCCAGAGGGATTGTTTTACTGTACCAACTAACTACAAAACATCCAAGCCTGAAAGCAGAGATTTGGTGAGGAAAAACCTCATTACTGTTACAGTAATAAGACTTTGCAAACTAAGGGCGCATCTTCACTCACCGCGCCAGAGATCGCTCTTCTGGCATTTGATTTAGTGGGTCTAGTTAAGACCCATAAATCGAATGCTGAAGGCAGCTCTGGCTGGCACCTGTAGTCCTTACAGTCGTGAGGAGTAAGGGAAGCCAACACCAAGCTGGACTTACGGTAAGCCAACTCCAGCTACAAATTTTACATAGCTGGAGTTGCGTACTGCACCTCGACCTTCCAGGTCTAGTGTATACCTGGCCAAAGATAAATACCTAACGTTCCTCCTAAAGCTACTTATTTTTTTTCAAACCTGCCTTCATCTCTCCAGGCGAACTTCCCCTTTCCTTGGCTGCTTGCACCAACCAGCTTGACGTGGTACAATACCTCCTTGATAACCCCTACCAGAAAGCCCGGCTCCGTGAACAGGATTCCCTGGGCAACACAGTGCTCCATGCCCTGGTGATGATTGCTGATGACACCGAGCAGAACACGGAGTTAGTGAGCAACATGTATGATGAGATCTTAAAGGCAGGCACGAAGATTAACCCCTCAGAGAAGCTTGAGGAAATAGTGAACCGGGCTGGGTTAACACCACTGAAACTGGCTGCCAAGACGGGCAAAGTAGAGGTAAATGCAACTGGAGTGATTCTCTAGGCATGGCTAGAAATAGAACGATGGAGTGAGTCCCCTTGCCTAGAAGCTGGGTCTGATGCAGGTGCTTCCAATATTATTGCACATGGGAGCTTCAGTCCCATGAGCAAAAGTGACACTGCAGGAGCGGAGGCATGAAGAAAACCTCTTTCAGACCATTGCGTTAGTAGCTGTTTTGATTCAGTCACCGCTGGGAGCTTCCGAACTGGGTTGCAAGTTGCCGCTCCTTTGACAGAGTTTGTAGAAGTTGTGCTTAGTTTGCCTCAAGTTCTTGGCCAGATCATATGTATGGCCAAGAACATACCTGTATGCAGGAAGCAAGGTTACCGGTCTGAAGACAATTTAGGTACCCTAGGAATTTCATTTGACATCTTAATGTATATGCGAACATTAGTATAATCAACATAAACTTTCCTTTCAGATCTTCAGACACATTCTCCAAAGAGAGATCAAGGATCCGGAGTACCGGCACCTGTCTCGCAAGTTCACTGAATGGACTTATGGACCCGTCCATGTATCTCTCTATGACTTGGCCTCTGTAGACAGTTGTGAGAAAAACTCTGTATTAGAGATCCTTGCTGAGAGCAGTGACACACCAGTGAGTTGTGGCAACTTTTTAAAAATCAGATGCAGAATGGCCTCTATCTATTTTAGAAATGTGCGTTGGTCTGTCCATCTGTGAGCCTGTTTGTTCAAGAACTCCTCCTAAATGGTAGGAGCTAGGAACACCAACTTTAGTATGCAGCTTCCTTTTAGGCTCACTTAAAGTAAGGTCAGGGTTTGGTAGTGCCAGAAAAATGGGTAGTCCCTGGAATGGGACTGTTTTCCATAGCATGGAAAGGGAGGGACTGTTTGGAGAAGAGCAATATGCAGAGTGACCACGGGGGGCCGTGAGCTTAGGGGACAGCTGTGCTGCGGAGTGACCACTAGGGGCAGCTACTCTACCAAGAGAGTGGCTAGAGGGGTTGGGGCTTCTTACCTAGTCTTGTGGCAGGCAAGATGGGAAGTCCCCCTTTCCCAAGCCACAGTGCTAGGGAGAGAGCCCGTCCACATGGTGGTGGTGTGGGAAAGAGCCCTGCTAGATGGTGGGGGAGGGGAAGAGCCCTGCCAGACGGTGGGGTGGGGGAGGGGAAGGGCGCTGCCAGATGGGTGTGGCAGGAAAGAGCCCTACCAATGGGGTGGGAGAGAAAAGGCCAGCCAGGGAACTGGAGGGTGGGGGAGGGAGAGAATCCCCGTTGCCTGCCCTGACTTGTTCACCCCCCACCCCACCAGCCCCCTGCCCTGAAGGACCCAGGCAATGCCGGGTAAATCTGCTATTCTGAAGCATATGATAAATGTGGCATTTCGGATTGTTTTAACCTAGGGAAATACAATGTGTGACTTTGTTTGTTATTAATGGTGAGGAATTTATATAATTTTACATTTGTGTCTATATTGGTACATGTGCGAGGATGCAACAAAAAACTAGTACTTTTTTTTTTTAATTTAGAGCCACCTCCATAATCTGAGGCCCTCCACTGTAGCTTACTCAGCTTGTGTGTAACTCCGGCACCGCAGACAGGGCACCTGACCGCTACGTTCCAACCCAGCACTAAGAAGGCCTCATAGTGATCCTACATCCCTGGTGACATGTTTGTTTTCTTCTTCCTCTCCCCCTAGAATCGATACAAGATGGTAGTTCTGGAGCCGCTAAACCAACTGCTTCAGCATAAATGGGACTCATTTGCTGCTAGGAGGTTTTACTTAAGTTTTTTCTCTTATTTTATATTCATGGTGATTTTCACGGTCCTTGCCTACCACCGTCCCCTGCAGTTACAGGTAGGGCTGGCTTCCTTGCACAGGGGGAAGCGAGCTTGAATGCTGGGGCCGTAGGAATAAGGGGTTTAAAGGGCTTTGGGTGGCTACAGCCATCTTCATATTCTTGTTTTTATCTTACAGTCTCCATTTCCTGCAGAGTTCACCGCTCTCGCCTTCCTGCAGCTCGTTGGACAGATCATTGTTTTCCTGGGAGGCTTTTATCTCATCATTGCTCAGGTACAGAGATATCTAATCTCATTGCTTTGGGGCCGTAGGAATAAGGGGTTTAAAGGGCTTTGGGTGGCTACAGCCATCTTCATATTCTTGTTTTTATCTTACAGTCTCCATTTCCTGCAGAGTTCACCGCTCTCGCCTTCCTGCAGCTCGTTGGACAGATCATTGTTTTCCTGGGAGGCTTTTATCTCATCATTGCTCAGGTACAGAGATATCTAATCTCATTGCTTTGAAATAGAACA